TAATCGAAATGGATACGGAAAATTGTAAATGTTTCCTGGAGGATCGTGAGAAAGGAGTAGGAGAAATAATACAAACTCTTCGTGTACGTAGACAGAGAAAAAGATAGGAAGGAAAGGAGCATCGGCGGTTTCCTTCTTGGCGGGCTCGGATGATCGAAAAAAATGTCCGGTACAAGCGCTTGGAGTCGGCGTTGACGACGCTTCCCTCGTCATTGAGGACGAGCCCTCCGTCTCGCGCAACGGTCGGTCCTCTCTGAACGACCAAGCGATGTCTTCGGCGGCGCTTTTGCCACGATGTAGATTTGTTTGCATTTAAAAATCAAATCGAGCGCCGTTCCGCGCCTCTCTCTCTCTTTCTCTTTCTCTTTCTCTTCTTTTCTCTTTCTCGCTACTCTTCTTTTCTCAGTGGATCTCTCGTTCAGCGGCCAAGCTTGGTATGCATGGCTTCGGAGAGGGAAGCCAGCCTCTTTCTCTTTCTCTCTCTCTCTCTCTCTCTCTCTCTCTCTCTCTCTCTCTCTATCTATCTACCTCTCTTTCTCTCTCTTTCTCTTTTCTCCGTCTCTTCTTCTCGTTGATCTCCAGGCTCTCAGTCGGGGACAATGCACGCCAGTTTTTGTGTCGTTTGCTTCCACCGAGAGAGCCGGTGGACCGACGATGGATATGCCGGACTTTCTGCTCGTCGTTCTCCCTCTTCCTCGTCCTTCTCCTCCTCATCCTTCTCCTTCTTACCGGTCGCGCTCCGACGGACTCGTCGCTTCGTATCGAGGAACTTTTCTCTCTCTTTCTTTTTCTCTACCTCTCTCTCTCTCTCTCTCTCTCTCTCCCTCTTTCTCTTCCTCTTTATCCTCCTCATCCTCCTACTGTCCCACCCTCTCGGACAATGAAACCGAAAATCTGCCCGGCACCCGGGGAATGCGGCGCATGATTACCTACATCGAACGAAGAACAGAGCGGCAAGAAGAGAGCCTCTCTGCGACTCTTTTCGAAGACACACCGCGCCACTTCCATCTTTCTCTCTCTCTCTCTCTTTCTCTCTCTCTCGAATGATCCAAATGGTCAAAGAGGATTTCTCTTCCGACCGGCGATCAACCGAGTTTGATACTTAAATTAAGGATTTAGTTTTCAGTTTAACAGCTGCATCGCTAGAGTCCGAGTAACGAGACTATTTGTCGTGAACGACACACTGTTCGCGTACAATATTATACGTTTTTATCGTCTTCGCGAACGTTAAACGGAATATCTCTCATTAGTCTCAGATACGAGACATAAAAGAAGATGAAACCTTTCCGTCATTCGTACCGTCCGAGCTTAGACGAGGTAAAGAAGCACGCGACATGTTTATACCCCATCTCTCTTTCTCTCTCTCTCTCTCTCTCTCTCTTTCTCTCTCTCTCTCTTTCTCTCTATCTCTTTTTAACAACCGTTAACCGTTAAGATCGCTCGGAGACAAGCGGAAACCGCATCGTGATCATCAACCATGTTTTAATATACGAGTCGTCTTATGTATACAAGATGTCTGTTGTATACAAGATACAATTCTAATCATGATAAACGTTTTCGAAAATCGCGAGAAAAAGAAAAAAAAAGAAAAGATGATACCAAAAGGAATGGGCATCGAACTCTCCGCGTGACGTCCAAGGAAGGTTTAGTATACGTTGCTTCATGATTATGCGCGATCACAAAACTCTCCTTTATTCGATCGAGGCAGAAAAAGATGACGGATGCGTCAGGCGCGCCTCCTCTCGCGCAGGCGGGAGATATGAATTTCAAATTTCGCCGCGGTGCTGCCATTTTTGTCGGAATTTCGTTGACTTAATTTCATATCCAATTAGATTGCATCGAAATCTCGTCGAGTCGCGCTCCCGAGGAAAAAGCTGCTTGCTTGCTACCAAGGCGTATGCCAGAATGCATATGTGTTCTGTTCCCGCACACGCTTGTATGCATATAACCTTAGAATTTATGCCCGATAGCCGATCTCTGTGCGTCGTTACCTCGCGATTTTTCCTGCGATAAATCTTGGGGGAACGGTTTCACGAAAAATTTACATCTCCGCCTCCCCTCGAATACCATAGGTTTTTTGTTTCAAGATTACGTCAAGTTATGCTCAAGAGAAAAAGTCTTTATGTCATTCCTCTTAAGAGTTATATTTTAATTGAAGCTCACGAGAGTTCCGGGCCTCTTTTAAAAGATTACTTTGAAAAGAGGATATAAAAAGAAATAGAGGAGAAACCGTCGGATAGAGTTTCATTTTCAGCGATCGACGCGGAAGCTTTAAGAGCCTTGAGAAAAATCGAAGAGAACACACAGCGATACTTTGTTGTCGATTAGCACGAAGGAAGAGAAGAGAAGGAAAGAGAAAGAGAGAGAAAAGAATATAAAAGAGGAAGAAAGAGAGAGAGAGAGACAGAGAGAGAAAGATAGAGGCGCTGAAAGAGTTCGATGAAATAATGATGGGACCAGCTCGATAAATAGTACGCCTCTGCTCCGTCTCACAATCAGGGGCGGAGTGCCGCGGGAAGAAGCGGAAAGGGAAGAGCAGGATAATGCCGGTCGAGAGAAGACAGCTATCAAAAGCCCGTATTTAAATATTATCAATGAAATTACAGTGCTCACAGTTTCGCCAGCCTCGCACAGTCATTACCGGCTGGCAATTCGGGCTCTTTAATCGCTCCTGTCAATACTAATCGATATCGTCGTTATTTAATATTCCTCACTGTATTATTCTGTACCTCCGTGACTTTTCGTTTTAATCATTTCCTTTTCCTTCTTTTTCTTTTTGTCGTTTCACTTGGATATTCGTGACAAGATCGTGCGATGATTTGAAAAACATTCGAAAAAATGCATCAACCTGGACAAGGAAGAAGACGTCGATTGGACGAGTTATGTAATAAGCTAGCGCGTCGGGAAAAGCATTATGAATTCGAAAGTTGTGTTTTACGGGGAATCGCGTAATTGTGAATTATAATTAGTAACCGGTACGGCGAATGGCATCGCTGCTAGAATCTCCTCGAATCCACGTTAAAAACGCATACCGAGCGTACTTACATACGTATGCCGCATATATGTAAGTGTGCTTAGCATGCCAGCGAATAGAGCAACGATACGGGTAAAATAATTAAATCGCTATGATCCTTATCTAAATAATTAGGACTTGGCGTGACTCTGCATACGGTGTTGCGAGGCCGTGTATGCGAACTGTCAGATTGTAGATTCCGCGGGCCGTAGGCATAATTAGGAGAGAATCAGAGAGAGATAAATATATATATATATATATATATATATATATATATATATATATATATTTATATATATATATATACATATGTATATATGTATGTATGTATGTATGTATATGTTATAACATGGAACTTGTCTATTTAAATCACAGTCTCAGGAAGCGATGTGTCAAAAGAAGCTCAAGCAAAGAGCGAGCGACTTCCCTTCGTCCCCGTAGACGTCTCCGATCGATGGCTACGTTAGATAACACAGTTAACGAGCTTACATTTTACTGGAATTCACGCGACCGACGGATGTAGTTGCTTCTTTGAAGTACATATATACACGATCGACTCGATCAAGCAACAGATAATTTCACGCGTAAAACAGGAAGTCTGAAGAAAAACCATTTTTCAACTAGTGCAATCCATGTGGTTACATGATTAATGTATAATATGATTATTCATCCCGCTTTCCAATGTTTGCATAGTCTACTTCCGAAAAGTTTTGAAACGAAGATGCACCGTGTGTATGATTTCGCGCATTACGCAACGCGATATGGAAGTTCGTCGAATAGTTCACGCAAAATTAATACAAGTCGAACAAATGTGAATCATTCTCGCCAGAGTTAGATCGGATAAAATGGAAAGAAAAAGAAAAAGAAGACAATAAAAATGAAGGCAAACTATGGCGTTACATAAAATATTGCACGTCGCGAAACGTTCGCAAGTATTTACGCATCACGAGATTTGAGATAAGAGCACTCAAGCTGGCTCGCGCGTCACTGAACGAACTCCTCCCCCTCGACAATCATTTCTCTCGTTTCTCTCCGAAATCAAGATTGAAGTATCGCATAAAGACCGGGCGCATTGCGTTTCTTCGCGAATTCGCGAAACTGGGATGGAATGGAAAAACGGGGCCAGAAGGCACATACGCGTCGGCATTGTCAAAGGACCCGGACGACGGGAGGCACACGAATCAGAGATCAGATAAGAAGGTTCTCTACCTTCTCAGATTACTTTATACGAGCCCCTGCTGAGTCCACGCACCTTAAAGCGCCGTTCTCACGTCCGGCGACATAAGGAGGATCCACGTGCTCGAGATACAGTCGGCTACGGCCGCTGAAGAAGCACTTTGCTGATTGTCAACGACAATTTACCTTCCCGAGTCTCCCGGAAAAATTACGTTAAAACTCGATGAAATCATTTTTCAAATATTTCCAAGGAGACATCGATCATTTCACTAAGTAAAAATGTTTAATTAGACAAGCCTACATTCCACGATTATTAACGATAAGAGAATAGCTTCGTTATACCGGCTTTTGGTCATCGCTAGAGTCACGTTCGTCCAATGCCAAATAAATACTATGATTATACGATACTTCGACGTTGATGACGAAGCCGAGCCCGACCTAGACCGTAACCTCTTGCGGAGGCAGTTCCAAGCCTGAAACCAATTCGAAACGAGACCGAGTGCTCGGCCACTCTGGTATTAATCGGACTTTTGTTCCGCAGCAAAGTGCTTATTAAGGCCGTGCCTTATTAAAGTCCACGGGCATGCAAACTCGAACGAGATCCGTGCGGATTGATCCAAGAGTCAGGATAGAAGGGACAGCGGTATTCTTTCGTCTTTGATTAATGGGAACCTTATTAAAAACAAAGCTAAACGATAAGAGTAACAGTTATTTTCTTAGAGTTGTAAATCTTGGAAGGAAGAGACACAGGAGTGGACGTTTCTTTATCGCAAATATCGGCTTCATTAAAATTGTCAATATATCAGGCTTTTTTACTCGTTAATTAGAACACTCAGATCATACTATAATTATTACAAAACGAGCAAAATCCTCTCAGCAGATCGATCATGATCGTCGACTTTACATTTCGAAAAAGTATCCAAGTTCATCGGACATTTGTGACTCTTAAGAAGATATCTTTCATCATATTGACGAGTACAGAACTCGCATTTGTACGGTTTTTCTCCCGTATGTTGATATATGTGCTTCGCCAGCTTCGTCTTAACGCTGAAACGATCCTTGCAGAGATCGCACTCGAAGCGCTTCACTCCCGTGTGTCGATACATGTGAACTTTTAGGCCCCAGGATCTTCTATAACGCTTACCGCAATCTTTGCACTTGTACGGTCTTACGCCTGTAAACTTAAAGTTGTTTAAAAAAAAAAAAAGAAAAAAGAACTTGAAGTTGCAAAATTATTTCGAGATTCTTTTAGAAAGAAGATCGTTTCTCACCGTAATGCGCCAGTATGTGATGTTTTAATGCACCTTTTAAATGAAAACGATGCTTGCAAATATCGCATTCAAATCTTCTGACATCGGTATGCGTCAATTTGTGGGTCTTTAAAACGGAGGATCTTTTAAATCTTGCAGGACAGAGATTACACTCGTAGGGAGAATCAGCAGTGTGGACGATCGTATGAGCTCTGAGACCGCTGCGTCTCAAGAAGTTCTTCTTGCAAATCGAGCACTCAAACGACTTTTTCTTTGCGTAACTCGCTTTGCGATCGCGCGAAGATTTCTTTTGATAGATTCCACATTCGAAGCACCGTTCCTTCGGACATATTCTGCGAATTCGTACGGTACTTTCATCCTAAAAAAGTCAAAGTAACACTTACACGGTGATATAATAGGTTAAACTTTATTTCAAAGAAAATGTGTATATATATATATATATATACACATATACAAATATACCTGGAATTTTAGAGAACAATAATTGCAATCGAAGTCAACGTGACTCTTCAAGTGATTTTCTAAATTCGATGATCTAAAAAAAGAAGAAAAAAGAGACAGACAATTATTCAATGATACATGATATAGAATCAAAGATATATTATAAAAGAATCGATAAAAACAAACCTTGAAAATCGCTTAGAGCAGAAGCCGCATTGGAAGGGTTCACAGTGACTGTGGAGGATTATGTGAGTTTTGAATTCATCTTCATTCGGAAAATCGATTCTGCAAATGGTACATACGAGCTGTTCTCTGGCCGTAAGAGTGGTTATGCGTTTCTCAAAAGGATTCTCGACGTCTTCTACGACGACGAGTTCGTCGTTTGCTGAGAAATCTTCGATCTCATCCAATATCTCTTTCTTGATCTTTATCTACATTTACAAAGAAGTAAGAAACCGAATTGGCTTTCTAGATAGAAAGCTTTGATATAACCTTAAAGATAGATTTCATTCTTACATCCTCACATATTTTCCAAACTCGATTAGTTTCTATTATTTTCACATCATCTTCATTGGATATTTTCAAATCTTCGTTATCATTGCCATTGAAGATATTTTCTACCATCATATTTAATCGATGTTTTATAAATTACTAACTCCAATTCGACAAGGAGAAAAAAAATTTCTATGAAAACATTGTCCGGTGCAATATGAAACAATCGCGTATCGCATATTTATAAAGTTATAGAGGAGCATAGTATTTATTAAGTAGATAATTTAAAATGAATATTTCTAAGCACGTATCCTCCAGGATCGTCCGATATCTCCGATCAACGAATTCTTATACGTATAATTTAATTAATCGCATATATTAAAAAACTGCATCTCGATGGCTTTCCCAAGGCGGAAAAGCAAAAAAAAAGTTGAAAGAGAAGAAAGCGTAATGCGACGGGTTTCCTTTCCTTGCGGATTAAATTAAAAGTGAATTGTACGTTCGACTACCAAGATAGATTAATTATTAAATCAGTGCGTTACTCGTTTAATCAAATACGGTAATCATTCGGGAGATATGTATTTCCTTTGAGCAAATACGAAATTCGCAAGGGTAATCAAAATTTAAGGTAAAACGTAAACGAGTCAAAAGAAAAATAAAATATTTAAAGGCGTTTAACCGAAGTAAAATTGTTGGAATAATTAATTTCACGTTTCTTCGCATAAGATCCGTTGGTTTTAACTGTCGTACGTGAACGAGAAATTCAGTGGAAACTCCTCGGAGACGGTCAGACGTGGTTCACACGCTCATTGAAAGGAACGGCGGCTCGCGGTAAACGCGATTGGACGTAACGAAGGAAAAATTCCTTTAGAAGAACAGACGCGTTCCTAATAAATTCTGCATGTTTCTCGTTTTATTAAATACTCACGTGTCGTTTGAAACGACGAAGTTTGTTGAGTTCTTATAATATCAATTGATACATAATGTATAAGAATATGAGTTTGGTAGCAACGTATGCATATGTATCGTACTTACATATGTATTTCCTATATCTAATAAATTTTAAATAAGAAAATATTTTTGGTTTACTAGGAATAGATTTTTTCGAGCTTTCCCACGAACATTTCGACATGGCAACGTTTGCATCTTTCAGGCTACTCTCGCAATCGACAAAAAAAGAATCCATTCTCGGCTCCTCGGTCGATCGACGCGCTTGCATTGCAACCGTGCAAATAAATCGGCGCGTCCTTCTCTTCTCTTCTCCTTCCTCTTCTCTTCTCTTCTCCTCCCTCTCTTCTCTATATATCTCTTTCTCTCTCAGTTGGTCGCGCGAGCTCGCCGTGATGCATGATTTCATGGAACTGTAAGGCCGCGACCGTAGTAGCTCTCCGCGGAGAGCCGCTCCGTCGAGCAGCGTGTGGGAAACTCGCCGGATGCATTATGTATTTATTGCTTTACTTACTTAGTTGGGAATTACTTTGCCACTGTAATGACTTTCAGGTAGAGCACTATCTTAGGAATGCCATAGCCCTGATTTATCGTTAGTTTGCCGTTTTTCTTTTGCTACTTTGTAGTTATCGTTAATACTTGCGTCCTATGTTTTGACCGACCGCCATCGCGACGACGACGACGCTTTGTCGTCGTTGACCTGAAAAAATATAGTACATTAGTATAGTATCGTATTAGTACATATTTAAGAAAGAGACGGTAAATTTATACGACGAGAATCGAATTTGATAGCTCGGTTTAGACGGTATATAAGTCGTATATCATTTCGATCATCGATAAGTAACGCCAAGAGTATAATCGAGAAATCTGAATACAAAAAGAAGCCGTTTAGCATTAATGAAGTAATTATCGTTGCTTCGTGCTCGTAGCGAGACGACGTGCGAGACGCCGCCGTATAAAGTATACTAAGGATCGTATTTAAGACATCGCATTTTTTCTTGCGGTCATTTCACTAATTGCCGAGCCGGCGAGCATGAGAAGGAGCAATAAATATTTCTGATTAATTGCTTGCGCGGATATATGCAAACTTCATATACGAAACTACGCAGATATAAAATAATAAAATAATGCGCACGCGTTGCGATATTTTTAATTGGATGAATCTCTCGAAAGAAAAGTAGTTAGATTGTTTGTTTTGACTGAGTTAAATCAGTCTGTCTCCTTTACATTTTGAATTTACGATCATTGTTTCTTCTAACGGTACTGACGTCAAACTTAACTACCGGTAGAACTCTTTTCTTAGACTTTTTATGCGATACAATGTACAAGTCGCTTTTCGATCTAAAGAGACTTACATATATACGTTGCGACATAAAGGAACAAAAAAAGAAAACGAGAGAGAGAGAGAGAGAGAGAGAGAGAGAAAGAGAGAGAGATGGTAGGATATCTCGAACTCGTCGTAAGATTTTCCTCTCTCGATCTTCAAGTCGGAGATCGCCGGATGTGTCGCGCGTGCTCGTCTTTTGCGAGCAAAAGAAACGTCCTCGTCATCCTCTTCTCTTCGTCCTCCTCTTCTTTCCGATCAATATTCAACGTGCATATTAAAGAACATTTAATACTCGCGCCGCTGGACGTTCAGGCTCGACCGGCTCTGATATATCCTCGCATTCACAGCATGCCGATGAGATCTATGTTTTTCAAAGGGTTTTGTAATATCTCCCTTCCGGCGCGCCGTCTCAGAGGGACGGAGGGACAGAGGAAACGGCGTCGAGCAGCTCATTCCTATGCAGAGTACGTCGTCGCGATGGAGCTTATATGTAACACAGTAATGACATACCCTGTGTCATGCTACCAAACGGTTTTCTCGGTTCGCTCATTGTCTTTTAAACGATCGGCAAAGGTGTCTCTGATTTATCGTTGACAGCAAGGAAATTCCATTTCGATAGGTAGGACCTTGGCTCTTTGCTACATTTCCAATATTTATTTTCTCTGAAAGAAATGGAAAAGAGATACGAACGTCAGAGATTTTGATTCGAGAACGAGATCGTATCGTATACGAACGTCATGAAGAATTTCATATGAAAAAATAAATAATAAAACAATAAAAATAACATAACAATAATAAAACAAGAAAAAAGAAAAAAAAAAAGAAAGAAAAGAAAAAAAAAAGGATTAGATTTTGTTTTTATCTTTAACTGATATCATAGCAAATCAAAATGAAGTCAAAAAATGTTACGATTATAAGATCTTCTATTTATCTAATCCTAATCGGAATGAAATTATTATGAAATAAAATTATTGTCGAATAAAAAAACTATACGTCCGAAGTTTTCCTTGTGGATTATCTACCTTTATCGAATATCAGTAATTGCGATTCGCCGAAGAGTAAACAAGGATAAAGAGATTCGATTTGTACCTTGAAAGTTTCTTATTCATTTCGAGCGAACGGTCCGATAAGCGCTAAGATAAGCCTTTTTCGTTTTCAATTTTTTTCTCAATCGCTCGTCTCTTTCGATATCACACTTGCACGAGGAGCGCGATAAACGAACAAAGAGTACAGAGTTTCCGGGAATATAAAATCCTTTTTTAACATTAATGTCTGCGACTATGCTGTTTATCTCTATGTATTACGGTATTAATAATCCAATTAACTCGATCATAAAAGGGAGATAACAGAATCTATTACTCCATTTTCGCTTAGATACAAGTCGATCATATTATCGGTGAAGATTTTTCTGCGCGGTTTGTTTAATAATTTAATTACTTCTCTATTTCACGTTAATTAATTAAAATGAAACAGTAATCAATGGGATTGTCTGTTATATGCAAATATCTATCGTATTTTGTATCTTTATTTCAAGGAAAGATGTAAAGACTCTACTCAATTAGACGTTCTTCGTCATAAAACGAGAAATTAATTAAAAATGGAAATGAAATAAAATCGATTACACGGAGGATTTCGATGATACGTCCTTTGGAATTCAATTAACGTTCATAAATAAGATTGCCTCGATTGGACTTGTTTTTTATTTCCGTTTGTAAAAAAGGCGGATAAATCGAAAGAAAAAATGTTCTTCGCATAAGAGGATGTCGAAGAAGCAGAGCGTGAATTTCCTCGATTCGTCGTCGTACTTCGCAAGTAATAATACGAGAGAAAGAAAGCCTGCATATGCAAGAAGGAAACAATGGTGCTCGCGTATAGGTGGAAATCAGAAGAGGAAGGGGAGATAGAGACAGAGAAAAAAATGAATGAAAGAAAAATAAAAAGAGACAGACAGAGAGAGAGAAAGAGAGAGAAAGAGGGAGAAAGAGAGAGAGAGAGAGAGAGAAAGAATGAGATAGAGAATCGACAACGCGAAACCAATCCGAGCTCACCGCCTTACGCACTCTTCTGAGGATGAAAAAATGCCATGGAACTGATCATAAATCCAACTCTCTCGACTGCATCCACAGGCGTGAAATTAAAAGATCGATTGCGATGCCGAGAGATGAAGTAGAAGCACGAGTGCTCAAACGCACCACCGCAGTTCCTTCGTACCAACGCTTCATTCTCATCTTTTCCATTCTTTATTTATTTAATTACGAGAGAATTAATTTAGTCTAGCAATACGGTGAAATTTGATGGTCTAATGTTGGTAAAAATTAATTCTTATTAAAATGATATTTAACCGAATATTAAGCTAAAATATATACATAATATTAATAATAATAATTCTTCATTATCGAGGAAAAACCTTAGGTCTAATGATTTCCGTTCGAAAGTAAATAAGATCGAGAATCTACTAGCGATCGTCATCGATTGTTGCACCATTACGTCGTTATCTTCGCGTTACCACGACGAACGAACGAGAAGAATAGTCTGAGAAGAAAGCGATGAAGGGTTTATCTTAATCCACGGTTCACCGAGCAGACGAGGTGCTCGGCAATCCCGTCGACCACCCCATCGAGTCAACCACCCCATCCCCTCCCCTTCGATCGTCTATGCCCACCTACCATCTTAGACTCACCATAACCGATCACACTTGCTTTCATCGACTTGTTCTTTTTCATCGTAGAGAGAACACCTAGACTATCGATATAGTATATAGACGTATACCTAGCTGCGTTTTATACTACACGTTCACTGATCGATCTAGATTGGAAACATTTTAAGAAAGCAGCTGCACACAGAGCAGATGCTTTCATATATTTTTCTATCTACGTTCGTTTTCAAAAGGTTACCTTAACGAAACTAAAAGTTGTTTGAACGCATTTAAACTAAAAACGAGGCATCCTCCGTCCCCCACCATCCGATGTTCTCGCGAAACTAACGAGAAAACTTCCTACGAAAGGTTAGACCCTTTCGAGCGACTTTTATTCCAGATTTTTGAAACGTCGACTAGCCTTATTTCCAAGGAAACAGGTTTTTCTCTCCGGTCTAGACTTTGTCGACGTTTATGGAATAAGAATTTTAAATAAAACAAAAATGAGGAAAGAGGAAAAAAGAAAAAGAAAATGAAAAAAATTAAGAAAGAAAAAAAAAGAAAAGAAAAACATCTCTCACGTTGCTTTATCGATTTCTTAACAAGTCTCAACGTCCGGATAAACCGGCAAGATATAAGCACGGATATAAACGGAGATATAAACGGCATGGAGTCTTGGGGGATGGGCAAACACCTGTAATGTCGTGTTCGAGGCGTCACGTGCCCGGGCGTGGCCGTGACGGAAGTCTTTCAGGCGCAAAAAGCCGATCAGAGCCCGTGCGCCTCAAAAACCTGCCGTATCCCTTGCTCTTGGATTCTCGGATTCATTAAACCACAAATTCGCCGTTTCGACTCGGAGCAATCCGTCGCGAAATTGATGCGAAACAAATCGAAAAAGATACAAGATCGATGAGCTAGCTAGCACTAACGATAAGTTTTCTTCTATAAGTTTTTAATGAAAAAAAAAGAAAAAAAAAACAAAAAAAAAACAAAAAAAAATAAAGAAAGAAAAAAGTGATTATTCGTTTCTTTATTTTCAGATGTTTACATCACGTACAATGTGAATTAGCGATGACAAGACACTCTACAGTTTATCAGCAACCTTCAGAATGTCTACCAACACCTACACTGTTAGCGAGTTAGAGCGAACAAGAAGCCGGAAAACCACGAAGGTCGGTGGCCGTCATTGATCTCCTGTTAGAATCGAATCACTTGGATGTAACAAGATAAATAGTCAGCGGGATGTCGTCGATGGTGAAGGGTGAAGATTGCCAGTCATGCTGACTATCTGTCCTATTCGAAGCACGATATTTATTCGTGTATGTATGCATTCGTACATACTTACTGTTAACGCTTAGAAAGAGTCAGCAATTTCTATGCTCACAGTTTGAAATTCTTATTTGGAATTAAAATAATATAGTTGATCGAAGTAAGAATTTAAAATTACTTGTCGATTTTCAAGTCAAGAACAAGGACATTTGATTAATCGATAACTGATATAAAATCGGTCGAATGGCGATGACTCGAATAATATCGTAGGGCAATGAATCAATAATACAGGAAGGAGAAATGATTATATAACGTGCAACGAGATAGTTAAAAAGAACGAGGAGTCACGTGTTATATAATAATTGCATTCGATAGTTGAGCCACAAATATTTATTGCTACTCACATCGGCTGCAAACATTTCGAGTGTTTCTACTAATGGAGGATAACTAATTTCGTTTTATATTTTTTCACAATGCTCTCTCTCTCTCTCTCTCTCTCTCTCTCTCTCTCTCTGGCTCCCTCTTTTTCCATCTATCCTTCGCTTTATTAATTTCTTCATTAACGTGCCCCTCGAAATGCGTGACTGTCTGTAACACGAAACAAATAAATTATAGTTTTAACGTCGATAAATTATCGTCATTTGGGGATTATTGTTTTCTAATATATCGTAACTCATGAGATTGGTAGAATGTTTATCCGTTTTATTAAATGCCAAAAAGAAAAGAGAAAAGATAGGATTCTAGGATCCTCGTGATCGGAGGATATATTTGTCGATGTAGTTGGCTATTACTTCATATCCTTCCGCCGTTAATTAAGCCAATGCCAAGGAAAGCGTATAGCGTGTGCGTTAGGAGAATACGAGCAAACTCTGACAGAAAATGCGAGGGTCAAGCAATAACGGCTGCCGGAACGCAACGTCAACTCGTCAGGATCGCCGAAACGACGTGAGATGTTTGATCAGCTCGCTAATGTAATATTGTTTGTTCAGCGAGTATCGTGTTTTCTCTTTATACTCAAGCGGAATGCTTAAAAAGCCTGAACTTTTAGAAATTCACGTGTCATCGACACACCCTCATAACTTATATACGAAAAAAACGGAATGACTTTTATTCCAACGTTATAGAAAATAAAAAAAGAAAGAAAAAAAAACAATAATAAAAAGCGAGTAAGTAATATTACAGAGATGAATTAGAAAAAAAAAAAAAATAAGAAAAGAAAAGAAAAATATCGCAAGGAGGAAAATGGCGAAATGCGTTTTCTCTGCCATGACCAACCAACACTGCAACCATCTCCGCCCACGCTATTAGTTTACTCGTGGTCAGCTAGCGTTTAATTTTCACGGATGCGATATGTTCCGATTAATAACAGGTTGCGAGTTCTACCGGTGTTAATTAACTTATCTTTCGCGCCTATAAGAGAAATCATATCCATCGTCTACAAACTCTATCCTTTCGGCTATGTCACCATCTTTATCAATTTCGAAAATTCTTATCGTTTTCTAATATTCAATAGTATCATTTATTTTATCATTTATCTCTACCTCTTTAGTTAAAACAAGGAAACGCATGTAGAAGAGTTCTCGTCCGATTTTCCAGTCGATTCTCGTCCCGATCACGAAGTCTTTTTTCTCTTCTCTTCTTCTTCTTCTTTTTTTCTTTTTTTTCTTCATCTTCTTCTTCTTCTTCTTTCATCGTATGCCGCTAACGGCTATAGTTTTTCTACGGGAATACGTCGATGTTTTCCGGACGTACCCGCGGAGCGTTTAGTCGCGCCGTAACTCGTGCCGATCCACAGCCCATTTGCGTGACCGTAGCGTAAAACTCGTAGCACAATCGAAGCCTCGAAGACATCCCTTTTTTTTCTGATCCCTGTGAAAAAGTAACTGGCATATATCTCGGCAAAGTGTATATATCTGGGCCAATTTGGAATCATAAATACTTATAATTCTTTATAAATTTATCAAGAAATTATCGAAATCTTTAATGCTTTATCAAATGAAAAAAAAAAAGAAACTCATGCTAATAATATCATTGACTGAAAATCAATGAATTGGTATAAACTATTTACAACTATACTGTTTCTTTAAAAATTGATGAGGAAAAATTGGCAGAAACGATCGACGGCTTAATCGCGTACCACGATCATAGTGATTTTACGAGGAAAAAGATGACGAGCTATTTGCTCGGTTATTTAGCGGTAGACTCGGCGAAGCGTGAAAAAAAAGAAGCTTGCCTCCCACCGGAGTCGTTGACCGTTAAAAATTGAATTACGACGTATTTTAATCTCGTCCGACAATCGATTGGTCACGAGCGTAGATCAATGGCCGCCCACGCGGAGCCGAGTTGGCTATAAATACGAATCGTACGTCTATTCTCGATCGGTGTGTCTGTTAACTCCCGATCGCTATAATTCACGTTATGCTTCTTGACGTGGCTACGATACCAACGATCTTCACGACTATAATGCAGTCGGTTGTTGCTGGCGTATCAACGATTATTGTAGTCATCTTAGACTTAATAATTAATACAAAATAATACTTACTGATTTCGGCATGCATTTCTTTTTCTCGGCGAATTCGAGATAAGTCCAAAAGTAAAAAAAGAAAAAAAAGAAAGAAAGAGAAGAAGAAGGAGATAAAGAACATCTTCGATTTTTCTCAGCTCGCTGCCTTAACCTGAAACTAAAAAGAAAACGTAATTAACGTGAGAATTTCTTATCGAGTGATTACCGGTCTTGCAACTATCTTACATGACTTGCCTGTTTCGTCGTATTTAATAAATTTCAATATTAACTCGAGAGAAAAAAAAATTTTGTTTTTCTCTTTTTTTCCCTTTTTTTTCCTTTTTTTAATTTTTTCTTCTTCTTTTTTTTCTTTTTTAATTATTCGTCCGCATGACTGCGCGAATAATAATTAATTCCTCGGTGTAGGCAAGCTAGTTGCAAACTTTCTATCAACGAGGTTTCTTCAGCCGGTTACTCCAGTCGAAAGAACAAACGCGAGGGTGATCTTAATCGGTGTAACACAATAGAAAGTTCTGTTTATTTAGCATCGTCGAAGCGACGTAAAGTCGACTTCGTCGTTAACGAAGCCACGTATCTCCTCGAACATGATTTCTCCTAGCAATTATTCAGATGACTGCGTAAATAATCGCCATTCGGTCGCTTCACCGCGATAAGTGGATCGAACGATCGTTATCTTAATTGGACGTAGCTTTGATTAACCGCTGACTATTCAATTAAGCAAAGAATATTTTCTCACGGTTGACCGATCGCTCGAATGAAACGTGCTAATCGATCTAATCTCACTAGCAACGTACGTTTATTATCGATATCGAACGATGGAATGGCATATAGAAAAAATAATCTGAAAATTTTGCCCATGTCATTCGAAAGAATTCATTAACAAAGTTCAAATCCCTCGATATATTAATTATTCTATATCGTTCTATTTCATAAATTAGCGTTGAAAGTAAAATACGTCGAAATAATAGAAATTTCGTTCGTTGTTCTTTGATAAAATCATAAATATTTCCTCGAAATATTTTTTTTCAAGAAGTTAAACAAAACGTGAGATCTTTCTACTCGACGTATTCTCGATTTCTTCGAGAAAGGACACTAGTTCCACGTCGTTAAATTCGACTCGAAGTTTATTCGCTAAAGGAGATCCCATAGTGGTCCGCCCCCACAAACAGGTGATTAGAAACTCATCAATGATAGCTAGTTAAATCATGAAAGACAGCGAATGTGCGTTCGACGATTTTTATAAAAGTGATAAATTGAAATCGCCAATGGTTCTCTCCGTGATAGGAAAACGTACGACTAATTGAAGGAACATTTTGTCATCTTTTTGTTGTAATTTAATCGAGATTATAAACTATTAAGGGAATGTAATATTGATGTATATGAAATAAAATGATGAAATATCATAAGTCATAAAAGTAATGATCGATGTTAAACTCGTCGACGCTCAATCATCAACGAAGATTTTAACGGTGAGCCAGAAAAAATGATAATTAACGGCGTACACGATAGAAAGAATTGAAGTGAGTTTATTCGGGTTTGATTCTCGTGTTAGTTCGACCAACACGAGTTCTATCATCACCAAGAAGCATAGTTGAAGTACAGTAGACGTCCACCCTGCGTCGAACGCGAAATGGGAATAAAATGTGAAACTGTAAATTGTGCGTGGGAAGAATCGGTCCCTGGGTAGTCGTCCAAGAGTTTTCTCAGATGTCCTTCTAGAACATGAGGAGGGAACTGAAAACAAGAAAAAGATAAAAAGGGAAGAGGTATAGAGGACGTTGGTTATAAGAAGGAGAGACTTGAAGCCTCGAGGATTTAAATGTGCGCTCGAACGAGCAAAAAGGGGGAAGGAGAATCGAGGTTTGGCCCTTCGAAGAGCTTAGAAATTTGTTATGTTATGTCGGACTATCGCTCCCCAGTGTATATGAAGAAAGAATTTTTCGCGGTTTTACCGCGTGAAGCTGCGTAAAGGGGGAGGTGAAAAAGGAGGGACCTTCGGAGTTCTTTCAGACCCTTGAGGAAGAGCACGTTAGAAAAAAAGAAAAAGAGAGAGAGATAGAAAGACAGCGAGAGAGAAAGAGAGAGAGAGAGAGAGAGAGAGAGAGAGAAAAGATCAGGAAGGGAAGGTAGAGCTTTTGCGAAGGATGTTCGTTGACGGAGGAAGGGAGGCGTCGACATTCAAGGAGAGAGGGGGGATGGAACATGGTGCCAGGAATATAAAGCGAGGGATAAAAGAGACGGCGGTCACATATGCGACTCGTAAAAGCTCTTGTGAAAAGCTGCATCCGTCCTGCCACCACCATCACCAGAGTACTACCACCACTGTTACCATCACTACCAGTACACACCCTACCTGCTCTACGTGCAGCAAACTAACTTCCTCCATTTCAATGACGTCTCTCCTTTCTCGTTTTTTGTTTTTTTTTTTATTTTTTTTTTTCCTTTTTTTTTTAACGATACCATAGAACGTTACGTTGCTGAAGGTGCGAATTCTCGTTTCTTAACTTATCGTTTCAGATCACGCTTTGAAATGTTGTCATAAACTACGAACTATAACAATCCTCGAGATCGTTTTTTTCTTATATTTATAGTAATCGCATTTACTTCCTGACGAAACAATATGGATTATTTAAATTCTTTCGATTGACGATCACATTCAAAAGTTCGATGACCATTGTGTTATATTGTATTATTCTAAGATACACTCGTAATAGAAGAGAGAAAGAGAGAGTGAGAGAGAGAGAGAGAGAGAGAGAGAGAGAAAGAGAGTACACTAGATATCGCAAGTCGTCGACGGATGAGCTACGGTGACATTGGTTTCCATGGTAACGCAAGAAAAGCACGTCGAAAGAGGGATCTCTCGATATCGGCGAATATTAAGAAATAGCTTTCGGGCAGGCATTTTCGTACATTTGCGGTCGGAAAATGAGCCATTCGTCTGTTCGGCAAAACGAGCCACTGTCTATGCATGGCACGACCGTACCAACGTCCGAGTATCCCCATAAATAATATTACTCTCCCTTCCATCCTTCTCTTTCTTTTTTCGTCGATCCTTTCGTCGCCCTTCCTTCGTCATTTGTTCTTATTATTTATAAAGCATTCTATGTTTTACAAAAATTCTACTGTAATATCTCAGTTCATCTAATATCCCAAATATGGTTCGGTCTATTAAAAAAAACTAGAATAAACGCGTTAAACCATTTTCGAAGACACAAGAGAATGGAACGTCTATTCTTTCGATTCCTCGCGGGATCGTCAACGCTTAATCGTCCGTTTCCACTTGTCACTCGTCCTCGATGGACGAACAAAGACGCATCGTCGAAGAGACGAAGAAAGAATCTTGAACCATTCGGGGTTACAAACGTGTGGGACGAGGGTAAAGAAGAACCGTGCTCGTGCTCAACCGAGAGACAAAAAGAAGTTGTTCGACGTTCGTAGAGGATTATGAAGCGCATGCTGCGTCAAATAAAAATCATTTCCGTGTTGGGAAAGAAGCGGAAAAACGAGAGACTACTGCTTCGCCAACAATAAACGTGCTCGTCTTAGTCCGTGTATGTATGTTAAGAAAAAGTATGTCGGCTACCCCCTACGTTGGAACTTCTTCTTTCTCTTCTTCTTCTTTCATTTTTCTTTCTTTTCTCTTTTTTTTTCCTTTTCTTTTTTTTCTGTATGCCTCCTAAAACCTTTCTCTTTGGCCTTTTTATTTCTATATTTAAAATTGCATTATTCAAATTCATTATAATCTTTTAACCCACTTTCATACACGTGAGCATACACTGTTTTATTATATATTTTTTATTCATACAATACCTCCATGCGTTGTACTATGTTTCTATTCGGACTCGGGAAGGCTTTTTTTTTATCGGTATTAAACGGCGACATCGTTTGATCTGTTCTCTTCCTATACTCATCCCTTCGTACGACACCCGTTAGCTCCTTGCGATCCCCTAAAACTCTTTCTCCCTCTTCCTTTCTTTCTCCTTCTTCCTCTCATTCTCCCTCCCTCTTTCTCTCTCTCTCTCTCTCTCTCCTCTCTCCCATGCCACATCATAGGTACGACAGAAAATCCCTCGCGGCGTTCTCTCAATCACACGCTATTTGTGCCGCAGTCCCCTGACACATGCATTCACGCACACGCACACGCATACCTACACATACATATAGATATACATCCACACATTTAAGCACGACGATAGAAGGAGATAAAAACTGACGGTATACCGTTCGTATAACTTTACTTTTCCTTTTTTCAAATCGTTACAATTTTCGTTGGAATTCACGATTCGATGGTTAAATAGTTTAATGTGGAAAAGAGTATAAAAATAGATAGGTAGAAAAATATCGAAATAGCTGCCTTGGCGAGATACGTATCCGATCGAATTTACCATCCAAGTAAACACGCACAAAACGAGAAAATGACGTTTCATCCATATTTTATCTATCTCGACCCAGAATCCAAGCGACGCTTTTCTCTCTCTCTCTTTCTCTCTCCCCCTCTCCCTCTCTTCCTCTCTCTCTCTCTTTCTTTCTCTTTCTTTCTGCCCTTCTTTCGATCGAGGTAAACGAAATCATCGATAGTCCGAGGGGGTCGATCAACTATACGTAACCCCTGAACCGTCTCCTTCACTATCTTTCTCTCGCTTTTTCGATCCGCCTGACTATTTCTCTCCCACTCGTAGGAAAGGATAGAATGGGGTGGTCCAAGAGGGAAGTCAGTTTATCCGACTGGCGTTTCCGCCATCGTATCGCGGTTCTATCGTATCGATATGACGGCCGTGAGGGTCGCCCGAAGTAAAATCATTAGTAATGCGATTGTGCCGTCTCCTTCGTATCTCTCCCTCTCACTCTCTCTCACTTTCTCTCTCTCTCTCTCTCTCTCTCTCTCTTTCTCTCTTTATCCTATGGAACAACGCATTCTACCCTAGATGCGTTTGTGGCTTTCATAGAAACCAAATGGAGGACTCGATAAATTGAACTCTCTTTTCTATTTTTATAATACGAAAATCTATAAAATATTACAAATGACCGTGTAACGAGATTGTAAAAATGGCATTGCTTCGCGTTTGTGGGAAAAATAAGAATAAATGAGAAAAAGATATCGTAAATAAGCGTGAGATAGAGGACTCGGTTTTTGAAAAGATATGTATATGTATATAT